ACTAATTTAGATGACTGCTGCTCTGTATGCAAAAAGATAGAAAAATAATTATTAGTTCCCAGCACCGGAAAAAGCATAATCAACTAGTTTCCTGTTGAAACACGCCTTCTTAACCTCTGTCTAATTCTTAAATTCAATAAATCTCATTACATCTCAGATTTAAAGGGTTTCTAAACCCTCCATTTTTTGCATATATCTACTGCTAGCAAGCAGTAAATATATGCAAAAAGTAAAAAAAAAAAACGCTTTAAAAGCGGTTTAAACTTACCCCTGTCTTCACCACGTGCTCCGGTTCGAAAATCTGAAAATGCTTGGGTGGCCGCAAAGCATCATGGGGCGGGCGCATGCGCAGTTCGGATTTTCGGCCGGGAGACGAGAGACACAAGGTAAGTCTATGGACGCGTGCACTCGCATGCAGACACCGTGGGACAGGAAGTGCCAGCAAGGACAGAGTAGTCAGCGCTGGATCGGGGACCCGCAGCAGCACTGGAGAGAAGGCTGAAAAGGACAGGAAAGAAGAAGATCGGATTAAGAGATATCATTCAAGGTACGTTTTTTTTTAACTTTAATGTCCCTTTTAAGAACAAAAAAACCTATATCCATTCAAAAGATGAAGTATTGGGAACCAAGAAAAAAAAAGAACAAAAGCTGCTATAGCGGGGTAACCAAACTCCGGCCCTCCAGATGTGGTGAAACTACAAATCCCATGATGCATCTCTCTTCGGGAGTCGTGGCTGTGAGAATCCTGCAATGCCTCATGGGATTTGTAGTTCCACCAGGGCCGGAGGTTTGCTACCGCTGCGCTATAGTATGAAATCCTTTTTAGTGGTACCTTAATGACAATGAAAACTGCACTTGCATTTTCCAGTGCTTTGACCAGCAGCAGTAATACAGCACTCTATATGGTCAGTCTCCCAATCTCTTGATTGTGTATAGCAGTGGTTCGCAACCTGTGTAACTTCCGGACTCACATTTGTCCTTGGTCATTGAGTCGCGACCCAAACATAATTCTACTTCTGGAACAGAATTTATTCCACAAAACAACTTGTGCAGCAATCACCAACGTATATATGCACATTTTAAACCGTACATGCCATCAGTTTTGAGTTGGATCATGAATTATGGCCTTAGAATTATTGCTCTAATTCTGACGTTCAAGGTGATGCCTAATGTATGGCACAATCGTTTTTACATACACATGCATGCCCCACCCACGCGTGTTTATTCTCATGCAGATGGGGTTGTTGTAATTCTTTTATTTGATCATTATCATTTTATAGCCCACACGTTTTTTTTCCCAGTTTACTTTATTGCTAGCACACAAGGGCTAACAAGCTCCTATGTGATAGTGTATGGAGGTGACCGGTTCTCTTTATGGAGACATCTGGGATTTCCATAAAGAGAACCTGTTGCCCAGATCACAGAAAACAGAGCCCCTGCTAAAACACACTGTACCCCCGCACATTATGGGCTTGGAATATATTAATGTGCTGCTAGGTGCACTGACGGGAAGCAGTACATGGACATTCCAAGCCTAGTCAATTCATTCACTTTACATTACTGTTATATACTGCACCTACCTCATCTCCTGCCTACCTCTCTGAGGTCTCTGGGCAGGCTGTGCTCCCGGCTGATTTGATATCGATCCACCGTGTTGGGGAGAATTGATATCTGCTGCACTGTGGAGGACAGTGCAGGCCAGGACTAAAACTTAATTATCGGGAGCCGCAGCTCCCAATATTACTCCGCTGGCTCAAAATCATGAAATGGTCCCCTCTCTCCCCAGATCCTATCACTTCAGCGGTGGCCCGGTTTCAAAATACGGAGTCTCCTGCATGCTGCCACAAAAAGTCCTCTGTCTCACTGCTGAAGGAGGGCCGCTCTCTGTAGTAAGACACCGCAATGCATTGAAAGGGCTGCAACCCACTTTTGGGTCACAACCTATTGGTTGAGAACCAGGGGTGTGTTGTGTACAGAATGACGTCACATTCTGGGTCCTAGGTGTTGCTGTGCTGAGCGGCTTCCCCCCTGCTATGAAAACACAGGCGGTTGCTCGCTCGGCACAGAGGCCATTCAAAGAACACCTAGTATTTTTTAATACAAAGAAAACAAACAAAACATTTTTTAATGTATTATTGGTAGTTATATAGCACCGACAATTTACACAGCGATTTGCATACAGTAGTGCACATTCACATTA